GGGGGGTGAGCCGGGCAGCCGCCGGTATGGAGATATGGCTGCGTTCTTTCATTGGAGGGCGCACCATGACCGATTGCGCGGCTACAAAAATCGCCATGCTTTCAGGGGTTCCCCCACTCACCGCGGTCGCAGGTCCCCACAATCCCAGCACCGCAGATGGGAACAGTTTGTGGATGCTCGCCGGACCTCGCGGCGTGAATACCGTTCATGGAAACAACTGTTTCCAACCCAAACCCCTGCTCAGGCCTACTCACCCAGCCACTCGTTCAAGCAAGTTTGACTTTACACACCCAACCCCCGCTTCCAAAACCGCTTGGTATAATCAGTTTGTTCGCTCTCCTTCTCTGGTTCGAAATCCACCTAAAGTTCGCCACCTAAAAATTGCCAGCTGGAACGTCGAAGGATTACGCGACTCCTTGAAATACCATTTGATTTTGCAGTTCATGAAAGCGCATCACGTCGATATCTTGCTTCTCCAAGAAACGCATGTTGTCCAGACGCATACCTTCATTAAGGATGGTTTCGATTTTTTCTTTTCTGGCAGTCTCTCGGCTCACCACCATGGCGTTGGCGTGCGTTGGCATTGTTGCAGCTCCTTCTGCCCGCCCATATGTTTCCAATTTCATTGGGCATGATGAGCGCATTGCTCAAATCGATTTACATACATCTGGTCACCTCACCACCCTTTTCTCTCTGTATGCTCCCAGTACTGTTCCAGACCCCGAGGATGACTTGGTGCGCAAAGAATCTTTCTGGTCCAAGCTCGACCGAATAGTCACCGCGCACCCGAAACACAAAAGGTTCATCTTGGCTGGAGACCTCAACAGTCGCCTCCATTCTGGTTTAGACGTCGCTCAGGAACACATCGGGCCCCATCATTGGGGACGCCCTCAGTCCATCAATGACCCCAGCGTGATAACGCTGAGTATCTCCGTACGTTTCTCATGTCCCACTCATGCTTTCTTCCTCAAACATTTGTGCCATTCGCGACCCGCAAGCGGATCACATACAAAGAACTGACCGCGCCTAGCAACGACCTAACTGCTCCCGATTTGCAACATTGGAGCGCCTTGGACTATATCATTGCACCCTCCTCCATGCGTTCCCAAATTTTCTGCCTAGGCTCCCAGTCCTCCATCTCTTTTGGCTCACGTCATTTCCCAATCCTCTTTCGCCTCCATGCTCGTCCTATGACCTTGGCCCCCTTTCCTTCCACCGGTGACCCTCCCCTCGATTTTACTGTCCCGCATCAGTTCGGCTCTGACTTGACCCGATTGCTCAACAAGGAGCTTGGCATCCCTCCCCCTGTCCTTTCTCCCCCTTCCTCCACTGTCCGTCACATCTTCACTGATGGGAGCTGCCTTTCTTATGACCCCCCTGGCCCTGACAATCGCGCAGGCTGGGCGTTCACCGTTTCTTCCCCCGTCCCTTGCGACTTAGGCCTCCTACAGGTCACTATATTTGACATTGATTCTTTTGGTCCTTTTACCCGGGTCCCTGATCACAACATTCCTCCATTACCTCCACCTTCTAACAGCACTGCTGAGCTCCTTGCTCTCATTGAGGCGTTCGATTGGCTCGTCCAACAGGACGACGACAGCATTCTATATTCCGTTCACACAGATTCGCAATATGCCCTCGGGTTTCTCCAGGGCAGTTCTCAGCCGACCACTCACCATTTCCTTGTAGAGCAATTGGGAAGCGGCGTCCACCCTCTTTCGCGTTACTGTCGGCCATGTCCCTGCCCACACGGGTATTCCAGGAAACGAAAGAGCTGACCAACTTGCTGCAAAAGGTCGATCCGCACGATCCCACATCGGTCGTTTCGCTTGCTTTCCAGCTGCCCCATACTCGCTCACAACCTTTGAGCAATCTTCCCAAGTTTGGGACTCTCTGTCCTTTGAAGATAAGAACAAACTCTTGGCCGACACCCTCTGCCAGGCTACATACAAAAAAAAATCCCCCTCGTCCATTAGAAATTCGCCGCCCTCATATTTCGCAACCCACCTGGGAAGCTATAAAGCGCCTCTCCAACGGCCAGACCCCTCCCTCTCTTGATTGCCGTGCTGAGTTCAAACGCGTTAAACATATGTTAAAGCGTGACAAAAAACGGCACCTTGCCTGAAATCTTTTGTCCGACTCCAGATCCCACCCTTCACAGCAATGGTTTACAGTCAAGCGCACAATGCGCCCTTTCGCGCCGAAACCTGTCAACATCAAGGATCTCTATGGCCAGCTACAACCAAAACATCGTCGGGCGGACTGTTTTGCTCAATACCTTCGACAGGAGGTTTGGCACCATCGGGGCACCCCCGTTCTGGAATCCGATATCTGGGATCTGCCCTATGATGTTCGCCTCACAGGACCCATCACTCTCCATGAAGTCAACGTTGCCATTCGTCGCCTCCGTCCTCGACGTGCTCCTGGCCCTGATGGTCTCCATCCTGAATGCTACATCCTGTCTCCGGTTGTTTTCCGTTATTTCCTAGCGCAACTTTTCACAGCATGCTTCAATGGCCCTGCGGTCCCAAAGCAGTGGATGCACTCATTTGTCGTGACGATTCCCAAGTCTCAGGCCAAACCCCTCACTGACTTGACAAACTACCGCCCCATTTCCCTGACCAACATAAACTACAAACTCTACGCAACAATTCTGCGTGCCCGACTCCAGCTCATTGCTGGGCAATACCTCCGACCTACTCAATTTGGTTTCCGTTCAGGCCGCTCTGTTTCACAACCAGTTCATGTCATACGACAAATTCTACAACTCCACGAACGTCAGCAGCTTCCACTCCACCTTGTTTTCCTTGACTGGTCTAAGGCCTTCGATTCGGTACCCCACGACAAAATTCCGTATGCTCTTTCCTCCCTCGATGTTCCAGAGCCCCTTGCCAATGCCATCATGTCTCTTTATGCTTCTCCTACCTTTCAAGTTCACGACAGTGGCTTCACATCAGACGTTCACCAACAGCTAGGCGGTGTCCGTCAAGGCTGTCCTTTATCGCCTTATCTGTTCGTACTTTGCATGTCTGCGCTCTTCCGCCACGTGGAACTCTTCTATGAATCTCATTTCTCTCAAATTGCGGGCGTAATCAACCGTCCTTTCCCTTTGTGGGACCTGCAATATGCTGATGATACCGTCCTTTTGGCACACTCACCTATTGCCCTAACCCGGCTGCTACACACCCTTCAAATTCTTGCTCTTGATTTTGGACTGGAACTCAATTTCTCGAAATGCGAACACATCGCCCTCCACTCGTGTGAGCGTATCCGCTTTTGTCCTGATCTGAACTCCGAGCAATGTCCTTGCAACCTCTGTTTCGGCTCAACGGAACCCTCAGAACTGGTGACTCTTGCCACTTCAGCCAGATATCTAGGTGCTCATGTCAACGACACTGGTTCCTCAGCGGAACATATCAAAGCTCTTAGGCGCATTCTTCCCTGAGCATCGCATATTGATTAGGATCAATATGGTTGATTTTAAGGGTCTCAGAATCAAAATTTTGGAATTGATATTTGAAGGGACAAAATCAAAGCAAAAACAGTGGCTTTTGAAGCATCAGAATCAAGAGAGAAATCAATAAGAAATCAATAAAAAAATCATAAACTGGGGAAGGAAAAAGCAGAGGTAAACAGGAGAAGGTGACATCCAGGTGCAGCAGTACACATAGTTTTGACTCAGGCATTCTTGCCTGTTCAGCTTTGTACAAAACCCCTTGGTGCTTTGACCAAAGTCTCCTACTTTTCTTTCCTAAAGGAAGCAGTGCCTTTTCCAAAGCAAAGAGCTTTTCCAAACTCAATCCTTCTTATTGTGCATGTGCCAAACCCAAAGTGTCCCCTCCAGTGAGCTTTTCCAAACTCAAGCCTCCACCTCTTTCATGGATCTGGTCAAGTGAAGGTGGATGAGGATTCTATACTTGGGGGCAATCTTGAGGGATAGCCTGGTTGCACTAACCCCCATGGATACACTGTGCCCTAGCTTGGAGATTTGACCCACAAAATCCTCACCTGCAAAACACCAAGCAATCTTTGGGTTTAAATGTTTAGCCCCCCAGAGCAAGTGCAAAAAACTGTGGTGCTTGGGGACAATGTGAAAACTTTTTCGGTCCTTTTCCAAAGACCAATTATTCAAGTAAGAATAGCTGCTGAGGAAGGTGCCACCCAGGTGTAAACTTTTTTCATATTCCCTTTGTGTCAAAAAAGTTCCACTCTGGTCCCAGAGGTCCACCAGCTTTTCCAAACTGGTGGCAGCAAGCAGCATGTGCTCTTCACATGGCTCATTTGATTTCTCAAAAAGTTTTCTCAGCACTGGAAGCAATGCTGGGAGCAGATGTTTCGACTCACCTGCTTTGATCCCCAATTGGGCCCAGTTGGCCCAAGGTTTTCCAACCTCAGAGAACATGGAAATTTTCAAATTAGTCAGCCTGTTCTTGCAGTCTTGCTTGCTGTATTCAATTTGTATTTGGTTGAAGATCACAGCTAGTCTTTCAGTCGGTTTTTTGGTTGGTCTTTGTCCTGGCCCTTCAATCCAACAACAGTAGTGCAAGATTGATCCAATTAAGTGCCCATAAAGTCCTTTACAGAACAATATGTGCAAGGGATCACCCCTCACATGTTTGGCACTCACCCCAGGCAATTTGAACAAAGCATGTGTGGAAGGTGGGTTTGCCAGTGATGCCACATGGCTGGTGATCTTGAACCTCTGCTTTTCCAAACAAATTTCTTCGTACCCTTTTCCAAAGGTACATGGAATGCAATTTTGGGTGTCACATTCCCAACATGGGGCCTTACTGTTCCAGTGGGGGAGCCCAAGTGTGCTTGAAAAAAAATCATGATCACCAATCACAGACCAAAGGATGCCTTTGTAATTCTTGTGGTGCAATGGCTTTCCAGCCAATTCAGCAAAAATGGAACCCTTTTCCAAAGGTTCTTTGCCTGGCCCCACTGATGGATGCTTTCCAGCAGCCAAAGCTGTGAATGACCAATGGAGCCATGTCCAAATCACATCCCAGGTCTGCTTGGTGGCACAAGACTTAGGGAAGCTGGCCAGCATCCAGTGCTTGAACAGTGTGCTGAGGCTGCTTCCCAAAGGCCCCCAAGAATAAACCATGATGTTGGCATCATTGGAAAATTCAACACCATCCCCATGCACATACAGAGGGATACACAAATTTTCCCAGTCCTTTTCCAAAGACATGGGGTGGTTGACCAATTTCTCATCACCGGTTTTTCTGACCCCTTGCCAGAAAGCTGCTTGGTTACCAAGGTCAAACAGATCATGAAACAAAGTTGGGTAGTTCTGCCCTAAGGTGTAGAACATCATATGGGGGAGAAAAATAGATGCCTTTTCCAAAGCATCCTTGGATGTTTTGGGATGTATGCAAGGCACTTCCACTTCATAGCTTGTGGCAATGTTGACATTGGAGCAGAAATGATTGAGGATCTGCTTATGAGCATTGCCTGGCTGCTGTCCCCAGTTGCCTGTTTGGGCAATGGCTACCAAATCCTGGTGCTTTGCACCATCTTGGATTGCTAGATCTGCTATCTCCCTGACTAATGTAGCAGATAGCACACCTTTGGCCCAAAGCAGCAGCAACTTGTTGGCCAAAGGGGATTGCTTGTCTTCAGGTGCCTTTTCCAAAGCTTTACTTGCTTTTGCAGTTGCTGGCCTTCTGCCAGAATGCATTTCTAGTTCCCATCCTCTTAGCCTCTTGGCCATGCCTGCCCAAGGTCTGAACAAGTGGGTGATCCTTTTCCAAAGAAGTAAGAACCCAAGTTAGCAAGGCTGACTCAGCCCTTTTCCAAAGGCAATTGTCGTTTTCTTCCAAAGACCCTGCTAGGTTTTACTTGGGTTTGAACCTGCTGAGAAACAGCTGCAGAGGTGAGTTGCTGAAACACCTTTTGGAAAAGGGGTGTTTGTGGTCTTTGTGTTTGGGAACCACTAACACACATGTGAAACAATGGAACATCATTACTTGCAACCAACATCACCAACCTTACCCAAAACATTTAATTTCTTTCAGGGGTTGCATTATTCTGCAAACACAAACAGCAGGTCAAACCCATCAACATATCCCCAAACATTTACTTCATGTATCGTCACATAAGCAACAATTCAAACCTACCAACATTCCCCAACACACTTACTTCATTTCTTGTAACACAAACAACTATTCAAAGCATTTCAAAGCAACACCAACCACAGCCCAAAACACACCACCCCTACCTTGCTTGCTGCTTTGCACTTGTTCTTTTTTCTGGGTGGGTAGAAAGTCAAAATGTCGCTTTTTCCCTGCAACCCCATGTTAGGGCTGCTGGTACTACAGCTAGGCCATTCTCCTTTGCCAAAGAGATCCACACCAAAACTTTTGCACTTTTCCAAATGCATACAGCAACCATACAGCTCTGTTTCTTACTCTACCTTTTTCAAAGTAGTTTCACAAAAGCCTTTGATCTTTCTTCCAAACACTTTTCCAAATGCTTGGTGCACTTTGCCAAATGCATCTTTTTACTTGCTGCTTCTTGGCCTTTTGCTTACAGCCACAGAAGTTGTCTTGTTTGCCAGCTGTCTCAGTCCCTTTGCCTCATCCTTTGCTCCCTTCACCACTTTTGCAACTTCCTCCAACTGACTCTTCAGCTTTGCACTTGTGGTTTCCTTCTTCCCACCCAAGACAAGCTTCAGCTGGGCCAAAATCTTGGTCAGCTGGGCTGACCACCCCTCTGCCCCAGCCCTGCCTTGCCTACTGAGCTTGGAAAAGGCCTTTCCCAAAGCCTCTTCCAAGTCACTTTGTGCCTTGGTGACTGCATCCCTAGCTTTCCTGGCCTTTTTCAAAGCCTCCTTAAGTTCTTCCTCCTCTGGCTTTTCCTCCTCCTCCTCCTGTTCCTCTTCTTTGTCCTTGAGTGCCAGCAAGCCTGACCCCTTGCCCTTTCCAGAACTTTTGTTCTTTCCTTTCCCCTTGCCTTTTCCAAAGCTTTTTCCCTTTGAGCCACCTGCTATGTCTTCCAAGCCAAGCCCCATGGACTCCTGGTAGTACAGCTTGCTGAACTCCTGCTCATGGGTTTCATCTGGTTCCAGCTCTTGGCCTTGCTGCCACTTGCTGCCCCTTTTCACCACAACTTCATTGGAGAAGTCTTGTGTGTCCTTGTACTGCCACACATTTATTTGGTGTGCTTGGGTCCTCCCTGTAGACAATTCTCCCTGAAGCTAGGTGCATTTGCAGTTCATCCCAACCAAAGTTGTCCAACATTTTCTTTTCAGACACCCATTGGTTGCGTTTTGTTGTTGCTTCTTTGGCTTCCACCTCCTGGCGCACATGCAAATATTTTTTGCCAGCTGTTTGCAACAGCCACTGTGCAGCTTTCAGGCCCTTTTCTTTTTTGCTAAGGCCTTCCATTTCCCCCTTTTCCAAAGGGTTGTTCTTCAGGTGGGTTTGGTGCTTACTCCACACCTGTGAATTCTCTGCTTTGGTGAGGCTGGCTTTCAACACTTCAGCTTGGTCTTCTTCAGTGCCTTCTGTCTCTGCAGCTGCTTTGATTTTGTCAGCCAGTGACATTTGGCCCAACTTTTCCAAATTGGTCTTGTTCAACTTGTTTTTTTGGTTTGCCTTTTCCAAAGCAGCCATCTTTGGTGAGGCTTTTGCTTTTGTTTTTTTCATCACTTGCTTGGGCTTTTTCATAGCCAACTTGGGCTTTCCCAAACCCTTATCACTCTTCATGGCTTTTTTTGGTGCCATTATTCTACAGCAAAATCTAAATCTGAAATTCTTTGTTTTGAGCCAAACTGAAAAAATCACAAAAAAATCACACATGCATAAATCTGATCAAATCTGATCAAATCTGATCAAAACCCTACATTTGATCAGATTTGATCAGATTTGATCTGGGTGGTATTGGGTTTGGAAAAGCCCAACCAGGAGAAAATCAAAAATGATTTACTGGAAACCAAACCCAAAAATAATGGTTCAATACTTCTTTCATTGACAATAACATCCTTTGAAAAAGTATTCATTGAAGAAAAACTGTTGATACAACAGCATGCATTCAGAGAGAAATATGTTTTGTTTGATCACTGCTCATTAAACAATATGACCAATAAAATTATTTCAGTATACTCATATATTTTATTTAATTAAATATGATCTTATTGGTTTCTTAATAATTTCATATATTAATTTTGATATTATTTTTTCATATTATCCATTTATTTATTCATTTATTTTGTATTAATTAATTTCATTTTCATTCATTTTTTTGATTGTCAGGCATGCCACAGGTGGGCATACCAATGCCTGTACAAAGTGAAACTGCAAACCCTTTTCCAAAGGTTTTGGGCTGGCATGCACTGTACACATCCTTTTTCAAAGATGAATTCTTGTGTGGGTGAAACTGCAAACTCTTTTCCAAAAATTGTTGGACCCTTTTCCAAAGGTCAGGTGGTGAAACTGATGACTCTTTCCCAAAAGTCTTTGCTGTCTTCTTTGTGCTGCTAACCCTTTTCCAAAGGTTTTTGTTTGGTGGTGCTTGCACCTTGGGGGGCCTTTTCCAAAGCCTTGCAGGGTTGAGCCTTTTCCAAAGCTTGCCTATGTCAGCATCAGCTCATCCAGGACACCAGTGGCAGCCTGATCAAAGTTGTCACAGACATACTTGATGGAAATGTTTCCATGCCTGGTGTACCTGGTGGTGATGCCAAAGGCATGCAGCCCTGCATCAAGGCATTCTAGGATGATTTCATTGGAATCATCCACAATTGCCTCAGCCCCAACATCCTGGCAGAAGGCAAGCTTGCCACCTTTGCCAACCCTTTTCCAACAGTTTGACACACCATGGAGCTGAACAAACAGGTGGTAGGGGATGAGTTCCTCCACCTGCTCATGCACCTTCCTCCTCCTGTGGCTTGTTTCCACATAGCTCAGCACATGCACATCACAGTGCTGGAGGAGCCTCTCCAAAGCCACCAAGGTGGATTCGCTCACCTTGTCCTGGCACTCCAAGGTGTTATGCCAGTCCACCACCACCAGTGGCTTTGGCTTGCCCTTCCCCTGCTGGGGCCCAGCAGCAGCATGAGGCCCCTCTGTCAGGGTGATGCCCTTTTCCAAAGGCTTGCTGCCAGAACTGTTAGGATCCTTTTCCAAAGACCCATCTGTCTCAGCTTTGCCACTGTCCTTTTTCAAAGACTTTTTCTTCTTCTTCTTGGCTTTGTTGCCCTTTTCCAAAGGCTTGTCAATGCCCTCCTCATTGACTGGCTGGGTTGGCTGGGCATCCTTTTCCAAAGACACCTCCTCTTCTTTGACCACCAAAAGCTCTGAGGTGCCATCCTTTGCAACCCTGCCCCTTCTGATCCTGCCTTCACTCTGGGCCTTTTCCAAAGCCTCATCCTTTTCCAAAGGCTTCTTTGGGTTGCCTGGGGCCATTTTGCTTCTCTTCTTGCTTCTGCTCCTGTAGTCCAACTCAGAGGAAGAAGAAGAAGGCATGGAAGAAGAAGAAGAAGAAGCAGGGCCCCCCCTTTTGTGCCTCTTCCTTCTTTTTGGCCTTTTCCAAAGCCAATTCCTCCACCCTTTTCCTTGCTCTTGTGGCAGCCTTTTCCAAAGCTGCCAGGTGGGCTTCCACATCCTCCACCTGGTCCACAGGAGCCACCTCCAGGTTTTCCCATTGGAGTTGCTGCCTGGCTGCCCTCCTGTTGGCATGTGTGGTGCCTTTGCCTGCTGGCCTCCACTTGCAGTTCCAGCCTGCATAGCCCCATTTGTTCACATGGTCAGCATGGGAGGAGGCCATGGCTAGTAGCTTTTCCAAACTACTTGGCTTTTCCAAACCAAACACCTAAAAAAAAATTGTTTTGCAAAAGTGACTTCGTTGTGATGGCAGTGGTTGTGGTTCTACCTAGAGGTTGTGGTTCTACCTAGTGGTGGTGGTTCTACCTAGTCATGCAGTGGCAGTGGTGGTTATACCTAGTCATGCATGCTATGGTTGTGGTGTAGTGGTGGTATATGGTTGTGGCGGCATGCAGTGCCATGTTGAACCATGCTCATGCTGTGTCCTAGGAAACAGCTGCAGACACAAGAACCTGAAGAGCACTGGGCCAGACCTGTATGACCTATATATATATACATGTATATATGTGTATTTATACATATATGTATGCATGTTTATATGTATATGTATATATATATATTGATTATGTATGTATGTATATATATATGTGTGTGTGTGTCTTGTTGGTGTATATATTTATATGTGTTTTTAAATAAATAACTATATATACATGATATGTGTACATATATATTTTTGTGTGTTTTTGTTTGCATGCATATATATATATAGGGAACTTGTGCTGTACAAATATCAATATATATATATATACATAAATGAACAGATACTTATATATATATATACACATATATACATATGCATGTGTGTGTACATAAACAATAGGGATAAAACAACAAGAATCTCTACCAACAACATCATGTGTCATCAAATTCTTACACCATTGGTCATGGTTATTGTGTTATGGTTGTTATGTTGAATATGTAATGAACCAACAACCAAACCAGTTCCCCCCAACCCAAGCCCTTGTGCACCAGAACCTGGTGGCAGCTAGCATGTTTTTGCTGCACTTCTTTGTCTAGCAAATCCCCTCTTGGGATTGATGCCCTGCAGCTGCCTGTCAAAACTGTGCCTTTTTCCAAAGCTTTGCCTTTTCCAAAGCAACCTCTCTGCAATCTTGTGGAAATACCAATGGCACTTTTCCAAATGCCATGTGCAACTACCACTGGGCACCCCATTCTTTGCACAGCTTCTCCCTGAGTTTGATAGCTTCAAGCTTGGTCAAGGAATCCTTTTCCAAAGATTTCCAAATCTCATCAATCATAGCACTGTAATGATTTGGGCACCTTTTGGCAGACACTTCCACAATGAGCTTCAGCTGGCCACCCTTTTCTGTGGTACCTGTCAAGTAGGCTCTAGGGTTCTTCTTTCCAATTGTTTTTTTAATCTTGACCCAAGGTTTTCTGGCTTCCTTTCCCAAAGAAGCTTCTTTTTGGTGAGTTGGAGTTGTTTTCTTTTGGTTCTTTTTCTTCTTGGACTGCACTTTGCTTGCCTTTTTCAAAGCAGCTGCAGGCCTTTTCATTTTCTGGACATAACCCAAAGCATTTTCCAGGTCACCCTTTTCCAAAGGTGCCATTTGCCCAGGCCTTCTCCTGGCAATGCAAGGAACAGGCAGAGAGCTCTCAGCACCTTGCTTTGCAGGACTTGCTTCTTCACTGGCTGCAAACATCTTTGGGTAACCTTTGCTGTCCATGGAAACATTTGAATCTTCTTTCTTCAATTTTTTGTTTCCAGGAGGCACTTCCTTTTCCAAAGAAAGCCCATCTTGCAAAGGAATGGCTTTTTCCAAAGCCTGCTGTGCAGTAGTGGGTACCTTTTCCAAAGTACTGGGGGCCACTAACTGCAAATTTGCCTGCAGCTTTGTGAAATCCTCTCTGTTCAGTTTAGCTGCTGCAGCTGTGAGGCTTCCTCTGGCTAAACCTCGAACATGGGTCAAAATCACATTGATCCTTTCCAGCTTCAGATTTGCCCACACTTGCCCTGAATGGTCTTTAGATTCATTCAGGTCTGGCTTCCTAGTGAGAAGGCTCACCAGGGCTGCCCTCAGAGGCTGGCTATGTATTTCACCAGAAGCCTCTAGACCCACCAACCCTTTCCAGAGTGGCAGGGTCCAGACAAGACCTTTGGGGCAAGCTGCTTGGGACCTGCTCAGGTGTTCATAACTGCCCAGGTTTTGCAAAATGTTTTCGTTTGCTTCCAAAACCTTGAAGAGCAGGCCACTATCTACATATGGTTTTGAGAAATGTCTTGCTCCTCCCCTGCCAGGGCCTTTTCCAAAGCCCTGGTCTTTTTCATCACCTTCTACCATTGCAGAAAAGTACAAAATTCAAGCTGAGAAAACAGCTGCAGCAATGCAGATCACTGGATATGTAGCAGAACATGTACCAAAACATGTACCAAAAAGCAGGGGCAGAGGAACAAAGGGAGAAGAGAAAATCAATAAAAGGAACCAAAAAAAAACAATATTTTGGACTACCAAAAACAACCTCCAAATCAAGAGAGGATCTTCCAAAAATGACTCTCCAGGACACTGATGTTTCTCTATTGATTTTGATTTTGGAATCAAAAATCAATTGAAAAACCATAGGTGTATATTGATCCTAATCAATATGCGATGCTCAGGGTTCCGCAATCAGTGTATTAGCCCCAGCTTCCGCCTCCTTGTTTACCAATCAGTTGTCCAATCCATTCTTCTCTTCACCATCGAGAGCATCGTCCCAACCCGAGCAGAGCTTGTTCGTCTTGATTCTGTTCACTTTCGTATTCTCCGGCAGATTTTTGGAATCAAATCCTCCTTTTTCCACCGGGCTCTCCAGGATGACAGGATGACTTGAGCCTTGTTCCAACGAGTATTTGCAACAGCTAGCCAATTCCCAGGGTCGCCACATCTACACTCCCTCTCAGCTTGCGTCCACACGAAGGCTACAATTGCTAGGTCACATCCTCCGACATCAAGATTCCCTTGAATATCATTGTTGCTTTACTGCTTCCCATTCTTATCGAACCGCCCGGTCGGATTGTGCCATTCGCAGAGGTCGTCCTCGTCCTCATTGGGCGGAGCTTATCTTCACTGAAGCATATCGTCGGTCCTCTTTTGTTGCTTCCCCTTCCCCTGTTGATCTTTCCTCCGATTTCTTTCAATACCCATCTGCAACTGAAGTTTCCCAGGCTCACGGTGGTTCCCTCGCTTCTTGGTCAAATAACACTCCTCTCTACCGAACAGTCAATGTCAGAGCCAACAACCGATCCCAATGGCGAGTTATCACTGGCAAACTTCCTCCTTCCCGAAAAAATCACTCCCGGCCAACTATATAGCCATCTGGTGATGCAGATTATTTTCCTGGGAGTCCACTATCAAAATTAATAATCTTGAAATCACCGATTTGCACATGCTAACCCATGCGTCCCTTCGAACCCAGGAAAACAATTTTGGTTCAAAATATGTCAAAATATTTCAAGATTATTTTGCAAACGTCCGGCCACAGGAAAGTAATGTTCATGGGGGGGGAGTTCACTGGAACATATATGTACGTCAAACCCCAGGAAAAAAATGCCCCATGATTGTTTGAGGGGGTATGGTTCTTTACATGACTCTAAAAGGTTGGGAACCAGGATTTAAATCTGTGGAAATGGTGCTATAACGATTATAATGCTGAGTGTCCGTAGGTTAGACATCAGGAACAAATTCCAAAGATCCATTTGTCCTTGCAAAGGGGTACATTTGTCCTGAACGGGCGCCCAAAATGCAAAACAAATGTTTTTGGCTGAAAATACATTTGTTCTTGAAAAAGTTTACAGCCACATATGTTCAGCTTCACCAACCAAAAAAGGTGACTTGAAGAGGCCGAGGCGCAGGTGTCAAAAATAAGTTCCAAGGGGCTGGACCTTTTTTGGCTGAATACATGCGGATGATCTTCAAAGGTTGGCCCCACAGGAAAAAAAGTCGCATCACCAGGCCAACCATCCATAGATAGGACATGATGGGACAAATTCAAGAATTTTGTGTCAACGCGCGCCCAAAATGCAAAACACATGTTTTTTGCTGAAAATACATTTGTCCATGCGAAAGGGTGCAGACACATATGACATATGTTTAGCTTCGCCAACACATAAAATGAGCTGGAAACGTTCGGATCCACGATTTAATATGTTCCAGGCGCGGGTTATTTGCTAAAGTTGTGGTCCTTGCAGCCCAGGAAATTGTTAACACGTGATTTAATTTGGGTGGTTGTGAAATTGCGGTAAGCCCCAAAGCATCTAATTCTTAATTTTACATACTCTTAAGTAGTTGGGAATGTGGTGATTCATGCGATAAACAATTGAGTTTTGGGTTCGTCTTCAGATAGCCCCCACTCGAATCTGTCATGGGCTCGAAACATTCATATGTAAACCTTGGGTCCCAGGAAATAAGTCAGTTAACAGCATATGTTGAGGGGTTGTTTGTTGAGCATTATATAAGGGTTGGCACCCAGGAATTTAATTGATATTAGAGGGGGAGAAATGCCTTTCTGGAAGCCTTAGGCATCAGGAAATTAGTGCCTGCAAGTTTTATTCGTCTGAGACTATAAATTCCGGCAAGAAAGGTCAAGCACCAGGATTTTAATCTTAAAAAGGCCAGGACCCCAAAAATTAATCGCGATATTTTCCCAGGACAGGACTCTCCGGAGTGCACCGGATGGATATCCAACTATTCTATAATTTGTCTATTTTTTATTTTCATTAAGTTAGTCTATTGTTTCATTTGATTTTCGTTGGGTTTTCAACTCTTTGCTGCACTGGGCCGAACACAAGCAGGCTGGGGCTGACGGGTCAAGCGTGGCCCTTTCGCTTCACAAAAAAAAAGAGACGTCAACAGCTGCTTGCTGCATCAAGGACAAGAATCTACGCTCCTGCAACAGAGCCTCCTGCGCCCGGTAGTGTAGTTCCTCCAAGACCAAACAGGCCAGCGCCTGCTCCCAGAGGCAGAGCTCCTAATACCCCGGAACCGGTAGGTGCTGCTTCGAGCGCACCAAAAGGGTCACGCCACCGAGAGCGAACACCCCCTCAAGTTGTTCCTCAGGTTGCCGAAGTAGATAGATCAAATATCATCATTTGCTTTGACTGGCACAACACCCTCGACTCAGCGCTAAATCCGTTAAAACTATATCAGTCGATTGTTGACAAGTTTTTAGAACTAGATCAGGCTGCCCACGGCCGAGTGGAGTACCACGTAGTTTCATATAGCGGTGTTGAAACCGGACGGAAAACCAAAGATACCGCAGAGAACTTGATAGGTTATATCTGAAGGAGTACGGTTTGAAGTTTGAAGAGGTTTTTATCACCCCTGATCCTACCGGCCCTCGTGGTAAATCAGTGATCCTAGCTCAACTTGGTGCCCACTGTCTTGTAGACGACAAGCCCTGCATTTTAAGTGAAGCATCTCGGACCGGAGCGCATACAGTCAGGGCATACCCTTCTAAAGACTTAAACTGGTTCCCTCAACTCATTGATTGGGTTAAGCACAAAGGGGTAGATTGGATCTTGCGTAAACATAGGGCAGCGGCACTGCGCCGTGATCAATACTCACAAGCGCGCGAAAGCAGTTGGTGGTGAATTTTGGACTTCTTGATCCACTTGTTGCAAAGCCGCTTCAAAATAGGCATCCCCGGGTTTCTTTGGTAGGGGCTTGAGCACCAGTCTCGCCCTTTGTATAGATTTGCCGGTCAGTGTCCTTTCGTTTCGCCTGAGCTTGCACAGGGTGTGCAGCCAGCACCGCGTCTTTCGGCACATCCGTGCCCTTTGGCCGTCTGTGTCCCAATTTTCTGTTGTCCAACTGGGAGGTGCTTGAGCTTGCTCGCGCCAGGACCCACTCGTGCTAACATCTTGGAAAAATGCAGACTGGGCTATCACCCTCAAGTGAAAACTCAGGTGCCGACAGGTCTAGAAGCTCCCCTGAAGAGCCTAAGGCCCCAAGTGGTGTTAGAGTCCCTGCAGCTTCCACAATACTTGCTCCCCGAAGAACATCTGGAAGTAACCAACCTCGTAATAGTCCCCAAGCTGAATCTTCTGATGCTAGCATGGAGGAGAGGGGAAGGTCTAGGCAGAGGCCACGTCCGGGTCATGACCCCAGTAGCAGCAGTGGATACAACCCTAAAGCACCATCAGACCTTAACGCAACAGAAGCTTCTTTCTTGGCAGGTGCAGCTGTTTCCCAAGCGCACCATGCATCAATGATGGCTAATAATGCTGCTGATGCCCAACTAGAAGCTCAGCATGCCCAACGTGTTGCCCAAGCTATTCATGCCGGGGCCTTGCAGCAACAAACTGACTTTGCTCAGGCTGCGGCGGCTTTTCAGCACCAGGCCACAAGGGCTTTCTTGACCCAGCAAGAAGAAGCCAGGGCGGCTATAGAACAAAGGGATCATAACATGCAGCTTCTAGAGATGAGGGCCCAACAACATGTTCAGGGGATTAGAGATGAAGCTGAACGTGAAATTTTAGCCAATAGGGGTGCAGTCCAAGAAAGGGCACAGCAATGGGTTAATGATAGTGTTCGACCACTTCAACAACAAATTACAATTGGTTCACAACAACTAGCTGAGCGTGATAATCAGTTAATGGAAAGGGAGATAAGAATCGCTAGGCTCCAATCCCAATTGGATGCCATTCAGCAGCAGAATGCCCATGAAGTACCTGTTGCAACCCCAACTCCAATTCCTGAATCACCAATGACTGTCCATACGGAATTTGATTTGTTTGAGGGTCAACAAAATAACCCCTTCTCTTCAGACCTTTTGGATGGCTCAGCTACACCAACTCATACACCACCTAAGCAACCAACGGGTATGTCTCCTAGGGAACTCCCTTTTGATTCAGTTTAGTCCTGTTGCGCCTGTTGCAGAACAACCTGTAACATCATCCCAAAATATGTCTAGTGTGCCAAGCATACCAATAAGTTTTGGACCGCCTGTGACGGTAGGAACTCCTCCGGGGCTATCGTTAACTTCTAGTGCCATTGTTCCCCTGCAGTCGGGCTTAGTACAACCTGACCCTGTTCCAGCACCTAGTGCTGTGCAACTTAATTTTGATGCTGCGGCAAGTGGACAAGGTTCAAATGAAGATCGCATTAGTGCTTTACAGGACCAAGTTTCAAAACTCATGCAGGCATTACACACACAGACACAACTTGTAGCTCAACTGCAAGCGGCGAAAGCTCCAATGCCCATAGCTCCACCACCTAGCACCCCTCAGGCTTTGGTCGCGGGAGGTGCTGCTTTGAGCGCACCAAGCGGTTCCAGACGTCACTCCGTTAATGCGCCTTTGCCACGACAGGTGTTGCCACCGGGTTTGCCGCCGTTACCCTTAAGCAGACCAG